AGTAACCTCATATGCATGCAAAAGCTGGACAGTGAATAAGGAAGACCATAGAAGAATTGATGCTTTTGAGTTATGGTGTTGGAGGAGAATATTGAAGGTACCGTGGGCTGCCCATAGAACCAACAGATCTGTGTTGGAAGAAGTGCAGCCAGAGTGCTACCTTGGAGGCCAAGATGGCCAAACTTCGTCTCTCATACTTCAGACATACTGTCAGGAGGGACCACTCGCTGGAGAAGGATATCATGTTTGGTAAGGTGGATGGTCAGAGAAAAATGGAAGACCCCCAGCGAGATGGATTGTCAAAGTGACAGCATCTATGAGCTCAAGTGTGGCAACAGTAGTGAGGTTGGCTCAGGACTGGGCAGTGGTTCGTTCTTTTGTGCATAGGGTTGCTATGAGTCAGTACCGACTCGATGGCACCTAACAACAACAACAACAGCAACAACGATGTAATGGTGATCCGTAGTCCAGGGCTTCTCTGCCAGTATTTCCTTCTGCTGTTTCTTGTCGTATTTGTAGATTTCATCGATACTCTGAGCTTCTTGCATGTTGTTGGCTAATTCCAGATTTTCTGATCCATCCCGCTACTGGATGCCATCATGGCAGATGAGTCAGAGAAGTTGTGCGTACACCATCAATACGCAACTTCACCCCTCTAGGTTTTGGGGTGAAGGTTTCCAACCTGCACAGTTTTAGAAGACTCTTAAGGCAGCCATGACTCTCCTCTTTGTGTGTGATGTTCTTGATGTCATCCCACAACTTGCCTTGTCTTAGATCACATCTGTTCTTGAGGTGGTCTCTAAATGAACGTGGATGTCTTGAACTTATTTTAATTTTCTTCAGCTAAACTTGAACTTGTATTTGAATAATTGGTGATCCTTTTTGCATTTGACCTTGTCCTGACTGATGATAATTGAGTTTCTCCATGGTCTCTTCCCACAGATGTAGTCCATTTGTTTCCTGTGTAGTCCATCTAGTGAGGTCCACGTGTCTAGTCACTGTTATATTGTTGAAAAAGGTATTGAAAGTGAATAAGTCCTTGGTCTTGCAAAATTTTATAATGTGAAGTGTTACCACCAAGGCCATATTTTCCAACTACTCATTCTTTCCAACCTTTGCATTCTAATCACCTATAATTATCAGTGTATCTTGATTGTATGTTTGATCAGTTTCAGACTGTAGAAATTGTTAAAACTTCAGTTTTGTCACCTTCTGCATTTGTAGTGGTTGGTATATAAATTTGAACAATAGTTATATTAACTGGTCTTCTTGTAGGCATGTAAACATTTTCTTAACCTATTTTTTCATATTTTAAAATGATTCTTTAAATACTAATTTTTTTTTTTCCAAAATTGGTTAGTATGGTTAGACTTTCTAGGAGTTAAAGGCATTATATTAGTTTTTCCCTTCTGTGTCATAGGTGTGTGGATGTAACTGCATATCTGTTTTACACCGGTGTAATGTATGCATGCATTTAAACTATACGCTGAAGAAAAAAAGCAAATTGACTAATTGTGGTTATTGATTTTCTCAGTCTCCTTTAAGCCTTTGGAATAGATTGTGTTTGCCTGTTAGGAGATAGAGTTCGTGTTGTTAAGTGTCCTCAAGTTGGTTCTGAATCCTAACAGCTCTTTATAGGGTTTACCAAGAGTTTAAATCTTTGTGGGAGCACGAAGCCTCATCTTTGTCCCGCTGAATAGCTGGTGGGCTCTAACTGCCGACCTTGTGGTTCGCACTTCAAATAGATCTTAAAGTCAAGGGCCATGCCTTACTGCCCTTGAGACCTCTCCTGCCCAGGTGAGTGATTTGCACAAAGTAGGCAGGTCAGTGGTCAGTGGTCAGTGGTCAGTGATGGCGTGAACCTGAACTCCACTTGTAGTGTTTTTTTCTTTTTAAATGTAGGATTTCTTAACCCTACGCTGAGGTCTGTTGGCCACTAAAGAGTCTCAGTCAACTCTTGCCTCCTCGTTACTTTATCATAGATACTGTTCTGTTAATTCACTGAAAACTGTTTTCATCCTACATCTTGTTTTGGAAATTTGACCAGTCAAGTAATAAGTGGAAAATGCAAAAAATATCTATTTATATGACTTTCACATGACTCATTCAAGCTTCCTGATGAAAACCTTTATCCACAGAGACTGTAATAGGCTTTTGGCAGGTATTCAGTGGCATAGGAAGTGAATAAACAAAAGCCATGTTTGATATGAGCTTACGTCATTGTAGAAACTTACCCTCTGCTCTGCCAGTCAGACTTCAATGACAGACGGGTAGACAACCTCCTTTATGCTTTTTTATCAGCAAGGGTTACCTAACGACCAAACTTACTAAGCCGCAGTTCACTAAAGGTAATCACATTCTCCATTATATTAACTAAAAGTCACTTTCTTACAGGTAATTCTCATTAAGTTTTTATAGTTAATCAGCTCAGACAATACCACTTAACAAGTAAATATAGAAACCAGTTGCTTCCTGTATGTCAGGGTGGAGCCGGGCTTCGTGATTTATGATGCCTAGTATTTTAGAAATGTATCCCTGGGTCTTTCTTCCTGGAGGCGCGGCGGGTTACATGTTGGACTATTCATCTCGTGGTTGGCGGTTCAGACCCACCAGTCATTCTGCGGGAGAAAGATGGGGCTGTCTGCTCCTAAAAATGGACAGTCCGGAAACCCTCCGCAGATGGTGGCTCTGAGTCCGACTTAACTTGATGTACAGTGGGTTTGGGTCTTTGTTTGTTTCTTCCTAGGCACCTTTAGGTGTTTGTTTGTTTAGCAGCCTGGTGACTTGTCAGCACCACCAGCTAACTAGACGTGTGCGTGTCACTGACAGTCGACTCAGGTTCTCTAATGGGAGCAAATAGTACAAGACTGAGGGAGGTAACACTGCTGGGTGGTGAGGTCCCAGGGAAGGCTACATGGGGCCCCGAGCTTGAATTACTCTATTACGCCACTAACAAGAGTCATGCTGAAAAAGCCTGCCGTTAGCTACTCAGGGTTTAGAAATTACAGGACCAGCCCGTAAAAGCTTCTTTTATCCGTAACATACCTGAGGCCAAATTGTTGTTCAGTGATGTAAAATCCAGTCACGATGTGCAGTACCTGATTATGTGTGTGGGATTGTATTCACAATTCCAGTGTCATGTGCCTGGAACATTAGCTCATGTGTTACAGTCATACATGTGGACAGAACCATTCGTTGCTGTGTGTTTGTTGGGTGCCGTTGAGCTGGTTCTGATTCACTATGACCGTATGTGCCCTGCCTGCTGGTGCTACATTCTCCTTACCTGGGCTGTTGGAGCCCGTTGTTGGAGCCACTTTGTGAATCATATCATTGAGTGTCTTCCTCTTCTTCGCTGATCCTCCACTTTGCCAAGCATCATGTCTTTCCCCAGGATTGGCTCCTTCTGATCACATGTCCAGATTATGAGACAAAGCTTCGTGATTACTTACTTTTAAGAAGCTTTCCGGCTGTATGTCTTCCTGGATAGATTTGGTTCTTCTGGCTGTCAAGCTGTGCTTTACCAACACTATAATCGAAGGTATCAATTCCACTTTGTCCGGAGTTTGCATAGTGGGCCGTGAACAGTACCATGGCTTGGGCCAGTCACACTGTAGTCCTCTTGCTTTTAAACACTTTGTTGTTGTTGGTAAGTGCCATCGAGTCAGTTCTGATGCAGAGCAACCCTGTATAGGGCTCCCAAGGATCGGCTGGTAAGCTTGAACTGCTAACCTTGCAGTTCAAACTGATTTTGCAGTACAACACATTAGCCCACAGTGCCACACCAGGACTCCCAAGTGCTGTCGAGTCGGTTCTGACTCATAGCAACTCTGTATAGGGTTTCCAAGGAGTGGCTGGTGAGTTTGAACCACCGACCTTGTGGTCCAGCATCACACCAGGACTGTATCGTTCATTTCAGTTGAAGACCAGGATGCGCTTAAATGTTGTAGGGTGTTGTTGAGCTGATTCCAGCTCCTGGCAACCGGATGGAGCAAAGTTGAATGGCCTCACAAGGTTTCCGAGGCTATAACCCTTTTGGTGTTAATGTTTAATAAGGTTTCGATAATTTTAGTATTTATCTCTTGACTTTATGGATTTTATTTTTTGGCTATCATCTTTAGGGGAACAGATGGCCAGGTCTTCTGTCTGTGGAACCATTGGTGGGTTCGAACCACTGACCTTTTGGTCATCAGTCTAGTGCACCCATCTAGATTGTACTGTAGTCTAGTAAAACCTGTGTAAGGCGGAAACCTGTTTGAGAAGGAAACTTCAAACATTTTCCACTAATAGAGAGCGAGAGCATCCTAGGGGGTGTAGGGTCAGCACTGGACTGCTAGCCACTAGCTGCTCCTTGGAAAGCCTGTACACACAGGGTCACTGTGAGTAAGGGCTGACTTGACAACACTCAACAACAACAACAACAACCACAGAGACTGAGAGAGAGGCGGTGCTTGTCAGACCTGGAAAACCCAGGCAGTCTTGTCGAGTTCCGGCTCACACAGGTGTCATTGTAGATGGTGTTGTTGTTAAGTGGGTTTCCGAGGAGCGGCTGGTGCCTTTGAACAGCCGACTTTGCAGTCCAGTGCTGGTCTTACAAAGTGCAACTCCAGGACTCCGTATGTTGATGTTGTTGATGCTGTTAAGTACCGCTGAGTTGGTACCAACCCACAGAGACCCTGTATAGGGTTTCTGAGGAGCGGCTGGTGAGCTTGAACCACCGACTTTGTGGTTCAAACCTTTTCAGTACAGTGCATTAACCCACAGCACCACACCAGGACTCCATATGTTGATGAACCCGTATTACTTATTTATTATTTATTTATGCAGATGCCAGGTCAGTGAGGGAACCACAAGTTTAGACATGAGTCAGTCATGTGGACAAGTCAAAACTTGATGATATAATGGCAGTATTACAATCGTTTATTAATATAATTATATTATTTAGGTTTAAGGTTTTTGAGGTCATGCTTGTATTTTTAATTTTTATTTCGTCTGTTTTTCAGATGTTTCAAACTAATTTGGCAATGAAAGCACCTTGTATGGCCTCACAAGTGTGTGAAGATGAACAGAGAGTGAGTATGTCATTCACATACAAGATTGCATGTTGTTCTTGGAACGCACGCATGATTTCAAAATATCAATTCAGAGAGCTGAGACATGTCTGTGTTAGAGGCTTATGTTTGTATTTACCTTGACTAAGAATCAGCTTTTAGATTGATTCAAGTTTTAACCAATCAGCGATGATTTGATTGGCTTGGAGTGCCCACAGGTCTCTGTCCTGTTTGGAATTGGGGGTGGTGGTGCCATGGAGTCAGTTCTGACTCTGACTCTGCATAGGGTTTCCGAGGCTATGAATCTTTATGGGAGCAGAAAGCCTCATCTTTCTCTGGAAGAGCAGCTGGTAGTTTTGAACTGCTGACCCTGTAGTTAGCAGCTTGGCTTTTAATCCACTGTGCTACCAGGACTTGTGTACTTGACATTAAAGAAAACTACATTTAAACTCCAACAACCGGCTGACCACTCAGTAGGAAGACAGGCCTGCCTTTAATGGACGTAAATGTAGAACTTGATGGATAACAGACTTTTTTAATGACTGAGCTAAAGCAGTGACTAGAAGACCACCTGTAAGACGTTATTGAGTGGGAGGTGCATAGTTTGTAAAAGTTCTGCTATGAAGGCAGGGGTGGGGAACTTCCGGCCTATGGGCCTCATCTGCTCTGTCCCTGCCATCACAGTAGGGGTGAGTGAATTAGATGTTTGACCAAATATTGCAGGCTAATTTTTAAGTTGATAATTTCGTATGGCTCATGAGTGATGTTATTAAATTTTGGCAGAAAAAAAATTCCCAACCCTGTACTAAAGTGTTTCTGTATATTAAGGAAAGTTTTTAGTAATTCACATTAAAAACAATATTTAAAGTAAGTAAATTTTCCATATGTTAAACATTTGACTTCTTGGGCTGTTTGCGAACCCCTGAGGGTATTTTCTTAAATATTGTTAGGCCAATTTTTGCTTTTGTTGTTTTTTTTTTTTTTTTTTACATGTTACTGTAAAAAAGTTAAGCACTGATTTACAAAAATACCTCCTAGGGGAAGGGAGCAGTTGGCGAACAAATGTATAAAGTGTGTGTTATTTGCATATAACTTTGAAAGAGATGAGTTGTAGACTTTTTTAAAAAGAAAATTTCAAATATGCGTATAAGCAAAGGTAAGTCAGTAGGATTAAATGATTTCTCTTAGTCCTGTGCTCCAATCATGACAGTATCTTGGTTTTTCCTCTCCCGTCATACTTGCAAGGACCCTTACAGTCTTGGTAAGTCTTCATTTCACCACCAACCTCCCCTCCGTTTTGTTTGTTTCTCCCATTGCTGATTGTTGGGAGCGAACAGTCTGTTGCATCCTTATTTCTTACCAGCAGACTTTTTGAGTTCCTCTTAATCTGTGCTTTGTGCTGAAAGCACCGCCCATCACTAGCCAGTCCCCCAGTGAGTCATCCACACAGTGAGGGACACTTAGTCGTGGTCTTCTCTGGCCCTGTTAAGTCATGATGACCGCTCTATCTTTATGAAACGCTTTCTTTGTTCCCATGGCGTTGAAACTGTGCAGTCTTACAACCAGAAGGAATCCCAGAGGCCATTTAATAAAACGTATCTAAGCACGCCGCTTCTACAGAAAGGGTAACAAGTGTCTGGCTCAGCTTTCCTTCCACAGTTTTATGACTTGTAAATACACTCTTTCTTCACAATCTGCTTTTTATTACTCAGGAAACTAACAGGCTTACATGAATAAAAAGGTATGAAAGGGAAGACAGTGTACTCGGTTTTTGTTTTTGTTTTTTTTGCTGCATACGTAACCCATGAAGTGACCTGCTGAAATAGCCCTGCTTTTCACACTGTTTGCCAGAAAGCCCGGTGCGGGGGAACTGGCCTCTCTGCCCAGGGTGTCCTACTCGGGGTCAGCTGCAGGGAAGAATTGGCCTTCAGACGCCTCCAGAATGAAGTTTCTTGCTGGCTGTTGACTGGGATCACCTTCTGGAAGCCGGGTCAGGCCCTGCATTGTTGTCCCCTCTGTCTTCAAAGCCAGCAAAGGAAAATGTCTGCGTTTGAATCTCCCGCATTCCTTGAAACTTGTGTTCTAATGCGAAGTAAACAGAAGGGATGATGATGTTTGGAACACTGGAATATTTTCAGTCACCATTACTTAGATATATTTCCTGTCCACTCTCTCTCTTTTCCTTCTAGGGTTCTGATTATAGTGCTGGTGGTGGTGGTGAGGTGCCCTCGCGTCCATCTGTTCCCACTCTCGGTGACCCGGGGTAGGGTTTCCGAGGTTGTAAATCTGCCTGAGAGCAGAATATCTCCTTATCTGATACTGTCCTAGAGGTCAATGAGGCTCTCCATGGTTACACGGTCTCGCTTTCTGCTTTTCCTTAGACAGTAACTATTGGACAGAAAGATTTTTCTTTCATGATTGGATCTGCTGTTTATCCCATAGTTTTGAAAAAATTTCAGTGGTTGCAGTGTTCCACTCTAGAATTTGCTTTGTTACTTTTTAAAAAGAGCTTTATCAATTTCTTGTGCTGTTAAGTGCTGTGCAGTCGGTTCTGACTCATAGTGGCCCTGTATAGGGTTTCCAAGGAGCAGCTGGTGGGTTTGAACCGCTGAACTTGCGGTCCAGCACATTAACCTGTATCGCCACCCCAGTTATCTCGTGTGCTGGGCCCATCTTAATCCTGTGCATTCTTTAGCATGTTTGTCGTAGTTATTTTAAAGTCCTTATCAAGTAATTCAATGGAGTCTTGGTGTGGTGTTGTGCGTTAATGCGCTGGACTCCAAAGTTGTTTGAACCACAAGGTGGGTGATTCAGGCGTCTCAGCCGCTCCTTGGAGACCCTCCACGGGGTTGCTACTCATTGGCACTCAATAACAACAATAACATCAACTAATTCAACACCCGGTTTATTTATGGATTCCTTGACTTTTGTCTCCCCTTTAATTATGAATCACATTTTTTGCTCCCCCCTCAAGAGATGTTAATTTATTACTGAAAAGAGCTTAAAAGAGAATAAAGGAGATGGTTTACCGTTAAGGGGAGACAGCTGTGTCCAGTGGCCCCTGGCTGGGGTCTTTGTAGATCACGGGTGTTCACAAGGGTAAGGGGCTGGGCTTGCGGCCCAGCAGAGTGGGCAGTGGGCTGTGGGTTCCCTCCTAGCATCCGCATGACTGAAGCAGGAGAGACAACTAGACAGCTGGAGGAGGGGCTGTCCTTCCCTTGTTGTTGGTGTTGTTATGTGCCGTGGAGTCGGTTCCGACTCATAGCGACCCTGTACAGGGTTTCCGAGGCTGATAGTTTTGTTCTTCCTGGTTAGTAAGTTTTGATCGTGTGATAGGTGTTGTGGGTGACACATTGGAGAGGTTCTGGGTTTTGGTTTCCTCTTCAGAAGTGTGTCGGGTCCACTGACCATGCTGTGCTTTCCACACTAGAGAGTCTTCCTGGTTCACTTTCCCCGGCAGAATCACTTTCAGCTAGGATTTTAGTGGAAAGCCTGTGTGTTCGCCAAAGCCCTTTAATGTACAAAACTGAAAATTCAAACTCTGCCCCCATGAGACCCTTGAAAGCTCTGACGGGCTCCTTTCCACTTCCCGTTTTCCTTTCTCCTTTTTGCTTTTTGTCTTTAGCAGTCAGGCACATAGTTGAAGTGTGTGTGGCACATTTTTTAGATTCCTTTCTTTCTGGAATTTTCTCGCCAAATTCCTAACTGACTTCTCACCACAGTGCTGTGGCGACTGAGAAAAAGCTACATCAATGTGCACCCCACTTAATAAAGTTTTCCTGTGCAGTTGCACTTAAGTGACTTACAAGAGTTGCTTGTCCTGGCTTCAGTGACTGGATGATCAGAGTTCAACTCGAAGAAGAAAGAAGAGGAAAAAAAAGTAATCTGATGCAATTTGATGAACTTGACCTACACCTATGGATGCAGTAGCTCAAAAGAGGAACAAATCCTTACAGCAAGGATCATTCCCACCCCCTCCACACACAGAGTAGACAGGGATGGGCAACTTGGACATTGACTACCCAGAAGTGACTGGCTTACAAGCTTTCCAGAGGGAACCTAGATCCAGAGGGCATGGAGGAAGGTAGAATCTCCACTGAGTGGGATCCAGTCTATCTAGGCAGGGCTGATGAAATGAAATTCTGATAGGTCTCTTGTGATACAATAGTGAATAATTGTTATCAGGATTGTGAGGGTTGGAAATGTAAAGGTAGACGTTTTGTAGCAAGGAGGGGAGTGATTAACTTTCCAGTCTAGGAGCAGAGGTCCCTGGGACCATCAATGGAGAGAAGAGCGGAGAGCGGGACCCTACCCAGAGAAGCAGTGATGCATGAAATGGAGGCAGAGACGATGACGTGGAGAGATGGAGCATCTGGGGACTCTAGACCCAGAGAGGGAGAGGGGCTGTGTGCTGATGACTGGGGGGCAGCCTTGCAGGGTATACCCTATGGTTGGTTGATGATACATGGAGGGGATTGTAATCATGGCAATGAAACGATATACGATAGGATGAATGTAAAATTAATGTTCTCCCATGTAAACTATCACATAATTCACAATAATATTAACATTAAGTAAATAAGAGTTGCTTGTAATTGTTAGTTAAGAAGGTTAGTTTACCGTCAGTTGGTGTGTTGTTATTACGAGGAGTTGGAACTGTCTCATTTTGTACTGCATGTTTTTCACTTGGGATTTGAATGTACAAATTTTCCAAGTTACTAAGAAATGTGTCATTACCATCTCTAATGATTCTGCATGTTTCACTTTGTGAATGAGTACACCATCGTCAAAGAGCATTTGTTTAGTTTTTGGAAGTCACGTGTTTTGATTTTTATAAATAGTGGTGTGGTCTTAGACATAAGTACGTGTTTTGAATGCCTGGTTGCAACATTCTTTTATCACCACTTTACTTGTGTCTTGGGTGAAGCTGATGATTGTAAAATCATTCGTTTCTGGGATAAATTACCTTCATCCTTGGAAAAGTGCCCGGATCCGACTTTAATCCAAGTTCTTTGTTGTTGCTGCTTCTGTTTGCCTTCAGCAAAAGAAACAAAACATTCGATCCTTAACTATGTCTGGCCACGTGGGTTTTGAGAGTTTGCCTGATCAGCTGGTCAATAGATCCATTCAGCAAGGCTTCTGCTTCAACATCCTCTGTGTGGGTGAGTACCAGACTCTCTGGGGGGCTTGTTCCTACTTCCTGTTTCAGAAGCAGGATGACGGTGCTCCAGCAGGGGGAGATCTGACCCCAAGTTTTTGTCAGTGTTGAGATTCTGTCTGTTTTGGTTTTCTTGCCAATGCTGCTGTAAACATCTTTGTTTATAAAAACAACCTTGGCTCTGAGTAACTTAGCGTTCACCCTCCTCTGTCCTCTGCTTGTGACCAGTGGGGCCACTTTCACGGACACCCAGCCCTGGACACTTAGAGAGTCCTGGGAATCACCCCAGGGGACCTCACTTGATTGTGCTTTGCAGACACTGTGTTCTCTACAGTTGAGTTCATGGCCACCCTGCGCCAGCACGGTGGTCAGCCCCGTTCCCTAAAGGCATGTGCTCACCTCAGAGCTCTGTGCCACATTTTAGTAATCCTCGCAGTGTGTCAGACTTGTTCATAACGCTGTTGCACACTTAAGAGACTACAGTATATGTAAAGGAAACTTACGTGTGCACTGGAAACCAGAAAGTTTATGTGAAAGCGGTGGTCTGGAACCAAACTTGTATTATTTCTGAGGTAGGCCTGTGAAGGAGTTTGGCCTTACTTTTCTTCTCTGCCGTACAGTGAACCTCTGAAGAGACGTCTTTGCTTATTTCAGGGGAAACCGGAATTGGAAAATCTACGCTGATTGACACATTGTTTAATACTAATTTTGAAGACCACGACTCCTCACACTTTTATCCACACGTTAGACTTAAGGCTCAGACATACGAACTCCAGGAAAGCAACGTGCGACTGAAGTTGACCATTGTGAATACAGTGGGATTTGGTGACCAAATAAACAAAGAAGAGAGGTTTGTGTTTTTGTTTTCTAATAAAATAAGTTTTTATTATATCAAGAAATTTGCTTTCTTGCTCCAGGTCTGTGATATGATTTTTTCCTACTACTGTAATTCATGGAGACCAGGTGTGGCACTGTTGGATAAACACTGGACTGCAAGGTCGGTGGTTCAAACTCACCAGTCACTCCTCGGAAACCCTACACAGGGTCACTGTGAGTTGGAGCAGACTAGACGGCACTTAACAACCACATTGCAATTCTTGCCGTACCTCCCAGACTGTGGTTTCTTTAAATACTTAAGGAATGTTTAATTCTGATTTGATAATTGCTATTTTTTCTTATCCATCATCAAAGTATATTGAGTGATTTGTACTAATTTTCATACAGGATCTTAGTTAAAAACAGACATACAAGTGCAAATATATACAGTGACCAAATACATGGTGCTAGTGGTAGTGGTGTGAAGTGCCGTGGAGTCGGATCTGACCCACAGCACCATGTACAGGGTTTCCCAGGAGCGGCTGGTGAGCTTCATCCGCCGACCTTGCAGTCCAAACCGACTTTGCAGTCTGGTGCATTAACCCAGTGCCCACACTGGTACTTCAGATACATGGTATATGCATTTTTTAACTGAAATGGCCAGTTAACATTATTAAGCATTTCAGGAGAGAGGTGATAGCTTTTTATTTGTATTTTATCGTATGTTATTTCATCTGTGGTATGATGAAGACTGATTATAGATTATATCACATGTATGCTTTGAGGTGGGTAGTAGATTGGGGCAAAGCAGTAACTTTGTTTTCTTTCAAAATGTTTACTTTTCATTGTAAGTAATTTGTTTATATTCTCAAGTCTTCTTTAGAGGGAAAATTCGTGTGCACTAGTAGCCTCTGGCTTTCCTGTGTCAGAGTATCGCCTTTTCATTTGTGTTCTGTTAAGGAAGCAGAAATGAGTTTCGTAGACCTTATGAGAGAATCAGGGAGCACAGCACTCATGGGGGATGTTTTGTGGGCCACTCTGCCTTCGGTGGGTAGTGACCTGGGAGTGGTCTGAGTGCCGAGTGTCCAGGGTGTCCCAGAGCCACAATCTCAGGGGTTCATCTGGTCTCTGCTGCTCCAGGAAGTCTGGTTGTTTTTTTTAAAAAGTAGTTTCTGTTTTGTTTTAAAATTTCTTCCTTTTCACCTGGGACCTTGAGCAAGGAGACACCATATGTTAAACAGTGAACTGTGAACCACAAGGTTGGCGGTTTGAGCCCACCAGCTGCTCCATGGGAGAAAGATGACGCTTTTTGCTCACGCAAAGATTTAAAGCCTCAGACACCCTCTGTGGGATCACTGTGAGTCTGAACTGATGTGCAGCGCAGGCACATAGCAACAACAACAAATCAGGGACCATCTCTGGAGTCCCTGGTCAGAAGTGTTGGTAGTGGTACCAGCACCATGTAGATGAGGCTGTTGTTTCTGGAGACAGTTCATTCTCTGTACTAGGCCGTCTTTGAGTCTTTGGTGGCCTTCTTTCTTTTGGGCTGTGGATGAGTAGAAGACAGTGGCTGGATCTTAGATGGCCACCGGTAAGCTTTTAAGACCCCAGATGAGACTTACCAAACTAGGATGTAGTCCACTGCTTTGCGAACTTGTAGTCCACTGCTTTGCGGACTGTATTGTACCAAGTGACTGAGTTGCCCCACAGTTCCACGGTCCTATGCCCTCAAACCCAGGAAAGCAATTCTGTGAGGTATTGATTATGTCCAGGGAATATCTATTACTGTGCTCCAATGTGTTTTCTATTTGAATATATCTGCATCACACATAAGTGTGTGTATACACATGCCTACAGACACGGACTTCTGGTGCGGCGCTGTAGGATCAGCACTGGACTGCGAACCACAGGGTCAGCACTTCAAACGCACAAGTTTATTCCGTGGAAACCCTATACACTGTGAGTCAGAGTATGCTCGACTGCACTTTCAACAACAGATACACAGGAAGGCAGAGAGGCAAACTACTTCTGAAAGTTTAGGCACTGAAAATCTCAGGGCTGGCAGCAGCACACTGTCACATACAGTCCCAGAAGATGAAAACATTGTGAATAGCACCAGACACTTGTCACCTATGGTGCCAGAAAATGAGCCCCTCGCAGGTTGGAAGGCACTCAAGATACGGCTGGGAGAAACCTGCCTCCTCAGAGTTCAGTTGATCATGATGACTTGAGTGCAGAAGAGTTATAGGGCCTTCATCTGCTGATGGGGCCCAATTCTGGATGAAGAGAAACAGCTGTAAACATCCGTGAATCAGAACATAGAATGTCTGAGGTATGAATCCAAGAAAAATTTGGAAGTTGTCAAAAATGAAATGGGGAGGTGGATCAGCAATACCACAAAATACCAGGTGAAGAGGGTTCAGGGCAGAGCTCCAAGACTCTGAACCACAAATCTAGGAATATTTAAAAAGTGTGAAGGCTTATAGCTATTGGAACTTGTAGTGGGAGTAAGAAATCACATATTTTTTAATCTGCCAGGCTCGGTGGCCTGGAGCTGACAACTTGGGTGGGACCAAATGGCAAGACCAAGCAGGGGAACAGACCCACCATGAAATAACACTGTGGGAACCTCAGAGCAACGGCAGACAATACACTGTGTCGGTTTTGCTTTGTTCTGATTTTTTCTTTCTTTCTTTTTAGTATCTGTTCATTGCCCCCCCACCCCCACCCCCCACTGTTTGCTCACCTCCATTGTGGTGACTAGAGGGTATGCCTGAGCGAGTGGACACCCTCCACCACCACCACTGGTGGGTTCTTCTGCCATGCGTGTGCACAGATACTCTCAGCCCAAGAGCTGGCCCTGAATTGTTTTTTAAAAGTGAAAAGGCCAGAACAAGGGGGAGTGGAGAGGGAAAGAGAGTTTAAAAATAAAGCAAGTCGAAAATTAAATTAAATCCTGTGGTACACCATAACAACCCACAGTGGCATCGTGGAATTTATCAGGTGGCTTTGGAGGCACGAAGTTGAAAGAGGACATTAAAGTCATACTCATATTAGGCTACAGATTTTTTGTTGTTGTCTTTACTCCCTTCTATCTCTTTTCTGTGATTATAGACTACAGTGTCCAATCTAGTTTTTTTTTCTTGTTTTTTTATTTTTATCTGTTGCTGTTTTGATGTTTTATGCTCCCCTTTTACCTTTGGGGGCACTCTTTCTCTGTATATATTACCAATAGGAGTCAGCAGCTGCTGCCGTATAGTCAAGCTGTAATCACACTCTATAAATAAACACCTAAACCCAGGCAAGAACCAATACCAACTGCCATATACCAGGGAGGCAGATAACACCTGGGAAAGTTACTCTGAGTTAAGCAATAAGAAGAGTGAACAGGGAAGTCCACATTCCTGATCACATCTACCTGGAGGCAATCAGAAAGCATAAAAATTTACCAAAACACATACTCGATTAAGTATTAAGGCCACAGATAAACACTAAACATGTCCAAGAAGCAAAAGCAGATGACCAATCAGCACATGTCCAGACAAGATAAAATGTCTGAGACAAATGACCTAGAAGTAGACCTGGACTCCATTCTGGAAGGAGGGCAGGCCTTGGAAACACCTGAGAAGGAATTCAGAAAAATGATTATAAAATGTTTCAAAAACACTTTACAATGGAGTTGAGAAAAATAAGGAAGTAGTCAGGAAAGTGTTACAGGAACAATCAAATAAGATAGATACAGCATTGAAACAATTCAAAACCTACAGAAAGAGGTCTAAACGATCAATAATAGAATATCAGAAATAGACAATACTCTGAAAGGGCAAAGGAGTAGATTTGAGGAGATGGAAGGCAGAAACAATGAGCTGGAAGAAAAATCTATTAATACCACTAAGAGAGAAGAGCAAACAACAACAAAAAAGGATTAAAAAATCTGAAAAAGGTCTAAGATTCGTGTTCGACAACATGAAGAGGAGTAATTTAAGAATTATCAGCATTCCAGAACAGGAAGAATCAAACATGTCCACAGAAGAAATGGTTGAAGAACTGCTGGAAAAAAATGTCTCTAACGTCCTGAAAAATGAAAAGATAAACATTCAAGAAGCTCATCGAACCCCAGGAAGGATAGACCCCCAAAAGAAAATCACCGAGACATATCATAATCAAGCTCTCCAAAATCAAAGATGAGACACTTCTGAAAACAGTCAGGAAAAACAGAAGTGTCACAAAGGCAAGCAAGTCAGATTAAGCTCGGATCTCTCAGCAGAAACCATGCAAGCAAGAAGGCAGTGGGTAGACATATATAAAATCCTGAAAGAAAAAATATTGCCAACTAAGAATCCTTTATCCGGCAAAGCTATCCATCAACTATGACGGTGTAATCAAAACATCCCAGGATAAACAGAAGCTAAGGGATTTTGCCAATGCTAATGAAGATGTGGAAAGACTGGGACGCTCCTGCATTGCTGGTGGGATTGCAAAATGCTCCAACCTCTCTGGAAAGCAATATGACACTTCCTCAGAAGGTTAGAAATAGAAATACCTTATGATCCAGCAATTCCTCTACTCGGTATTTACCCACAAGAAAAACGAGCCACAACACGAGAAGATACATGCACACCAATGTTCATAGCAGCACTGTTTACAATAGCAAAAAGATGGAGACAGCCAAAGTGCCCATCAACTGAAGAATGGATAAACAAACTGTGGTACATACACACTATGGAATATTATACTACCTTGAAAAATAACAAGGAAGCTGTAAGTTATCACATAATATGGATGAACCTTGAGGACATTATGTTCAGTGAAATTAGTGGCAAAAAGAGAAATACTGCCTAGGACCATCTGTAAAAGAAAAAGAACCCATACTAAAGGGGCGGAAGGATATTCTCTGCAGATTACCGGGATGTGGGGAGTGGGGTGAGGGGAGGGGGAGTGGAAGGTGGAGCATGGGGCAGAGGATAGTTTGGATAATAGGCACAGGATAGTTTGGGTGCTAGGGAGGTGAGCAATACACAAAAAGGGGCGGGG